CCACGCTTAAAGTTAGGCTTTGAAAAATGTTCTTTAAAAAATCCACGTTTACTGTGGGCCTTGAAACATCTTGAACAAGTCGGAGCATATAGTAGACCTGAAAAATATTCTTAAAAAAACCCCCCACCCCAATAATGAGCCTTGAGAAACATTCTTAGAATATCCATTCTTATAATGGACCTTGAAAAATATTCAGGAACAAATCGGAGCATATATTAGACCTTAAAACAAAATCCAGGCTTGAAAAAATATTATTTTCTCGCTTATAGTTGGTCCTAAATAATATGTTTTTAAAAATCCAAATTTTTTGAGGGCCTTGAAAAATATTATTATAGTGCAGCAACGTACACAGGATTTCATTCCGGGGGGGCCGGTAGTACAAAATGAAAAAAATCGCTATTGCAAACATAAATTTACTGTGAAAAAAATCATGCGTACGTGCCTGTTATAGTGGACCCAGAAAAATCTGCGCTTGAAAACATTCTTTGAAAAATCCAAACTTATAATTGACCTTGGAAAATATTCTTTAAAAAAATCACACTTACAGAGGGCATCGAAAAATATTCTACAACATCCACGCTTATAGTGGACTTTGAAAAAAAAATATTTAAAAAAACGGGGCATATATTTGACCTTGAAAAATTATTCTTTAGAAATAACCACACTTATTGAGGCTCTTGGACCTTAAAAACTATCCTTGAAAAATAGCAAAATATTCTTTAAATAATTCCCGCTTATTGTGGACCTTAAAAAATATTTTTTGAAAATCCACTCCAATAGAGGGCCTTGGAAAATATTCTCTAAAAAATTCAAGTTTTTAATGGAGCTTGAAAAATACTCTTGGATTTTTAAGGAAGTTAATTTTAAAATACATTCTTATACGAATCTATAAATGCCGTGTATCTGTTTTTAATCTCCAAATTCCGCATCCTAATCCAACAACTATACCCGCATACCCATAATTCCTACCATTCAATAATAAAACCAAATCAATTTTCCATTTTAAAATATTGTGGCATATTTTAATGTTAATATTTGCTTCATTTCTTTCTTTGAAACTGCTATGAATGTTAGCAATGTTATGTTTTTTTTTTTCGATTACAATTCAAAATATTTCTTAAAGAAATTGACTTAAATAACAATAACAACAAAAAATACCACGGAGATTTCCACAAGGAGGAAACTACTTCATTCATGGTTATGGGACACACAATATCCATATTCAGTTCCAAAAAACAAACGCACACAAAAAATGTAAATGCATTGTCGTCAACGTTGTCAGCATCATCGTCATCACCGTCTTCTTCATCCACATCCTCATCATCGTCGTCGTCATCACGAACATCATTTTTTTATGATCATCCAATGAGAATTGAGGCCATCTCAGCTGTGGCACACAAAATGAAATCACAATCATCTGCAACTGCAGCAGCCCAATATTTGTGCTGGATGGCTGTCTGGCAGGCAGGCTGGCGGAATTCATGTTCACTTCAGGGCAGTGCAGGGTAACTGAGAAACTGAAAAATAAAAGGCGGCGATGGCGGCACAGTGGTGCAACCTCTTCTACCTCTCTAATCAATTATAAACGTTTTATGGCTTTATTCAGCATTTCAATGATAACCTGAATGCAAAAAAAAACCAAAAACAACGAAAACGAAAACAGCGGCAAATAGAAAGAAAAGGAAAGAAAAAAAAAACAAACAATACGAATATTTTAAATTCTTAATTTAAAATACACAGACACATACACACAGAGAAAGAGTATACCCCTAGGGGGGGTTTATATACCCAGTGAACATTTTTTAAAGGAAAGCTTTTTTAAAATACGAGATATACCAGAGCCTTTGTTAAATGCTTGAAAAATATATTTTTTTAAAACCTACGCCTTTGGTAAGCCTTGAAAAAATATTCTTTAAAAAATCCACTCCTTGGGCAATCCTTGAAAAGATATTCTATAAAAAATCAACTCCTGGGGTAATCCTTGAAAAAATATTCTTTAAAAAAACCCACGCCTCTTTTGGTGTCTGAAAAACTATTCTTTAAACCAGTGAGCGGAGCAGTATAGTCGGACGGGGCCGACCATACGATACCCTACACAACTACCACGGAATTCTAACTTTCTGCGGAAGTTTACTCGTGATATTGCATCCTCTTGCCCGATTAGAGGTCAACGTAAAGCCCTTCTAATTACTTGTCCAGATCCCCTTCACGGTGGGTTGTGTTGTGATGATCGGATTATATTCGACTCGAAAACACACAAAAAAAAATTGCGATCAATGTAAAAATTTGCGATGTTTGGGCCATAATTGCGACCTCTGGAGCGACCAGAAAAACCGACAAAAATTAAGTATTTGGTCCATATCATCCCCTAAATATTAACCGATCTTTACCAAAAACAATAGGGGTCTTCATTGGCCAGAACCCATCCTACATGCAAAATTTCGTGAAGATTGGTCCATAACTGTGGCCTGTATCGTCTTTACAAATTATAATGGACAGACGGACAGACGGACGGACACACATGTCTAGATCGACTCAGCTAGTCGAGATTTTCAAAAATATTCTTTAAAAAATCCACGCCTTGTGTGAATGGTCCTTTTCAAAAATATTCTTTAAAAAATCCACGCCTTGTGCGAATGGTCCTTTTCAAAAATATTCTTTAAAAAATCCACGCCTTGTGTGAATGGTCCTTTTCAAAAATATTCTTTAAAAAATCCACGCCTTGTGTGAATGGTCCTTTTCAAAAATATTCTTTAAAAAATCCACGCCTTGTGTGAATGGTCCTTTTCAAAAATATTCTTTAAAAAATCCACGCCTTGTGTGAATGGTCCTTTTCAAAAATATTCTTTAAAAAATCCACGCCTTGTGTGAATGGTCCTTTTCAAAAATATTCTTTAAAAAATCCACGCCTTGTGTGAATGGTCCTTTTCAAAAATATTCTTTAAAAAATCCACGCCTTGTGTGAATGGTCCTTTTCAAAAATATTCTTTAAAAAATCCACGCCTTGTGTGAATGGTCCTTTTCAAAAATATTCTTTAAAAAATCCACGCCTTGTGTGAATGGTCCTTTTCAAAAATATTCTTTAAAAAATCCACGCCTTGTGTGAATGGTCCTTTTCAAAAATATTCTTTAAAAAATCCACGCCTTGTGTGAATGGTCCTTTTCAAAAATATTCTTTAAAAAATCCACGCCTTGTGTGAATCCTTTTCAAAAATATTCTTTAAAAAATCCACGCCTTGTGTGAATCCTTTTCAAAAATATTCTTTAAAAAATCCACGCCTTGTGTGAATCCTTTTCAAAAATATTCTTTAAAAAATCCACGCCTCTTGCAGACCTGGAAGAAGACCCACCTTTTCAAAAATATTCTTTAAAAAATCCACACCTTGTGTGAATCCTTTTCAAAAATATTCTTTAAAAAATCCACGCCTTGTGTGAAGGGAAGCTTTTCAAAAATATTCTTTAAAAAATCCACGCCTTGTGTGAATCCTTTTCAAAAATATTCTTTAAAAAATCCACGCCTTGTGTGAATCCTTTTCAAAAATATTCTTTAAAAAATCCACGCCTTGTGTGAATCCTTTTCAAAAATATTCTTTAAAAAATCCACGCCTTGTGTGAATCCTTTTCAAAAATATTCTTTAAAAAATCCACGCCTTGTGTGAATCCTTTTCAAAAATATTCTTTAAAAAATCCACGCCTTGTGTGAATGGTCCTTTTCAAAAATATTCTTTAACCAGTGAGCGGAGCAGTATAGTCGGACGGGGCCGACCATACGATACCCTACACAACTACCACGAACTCTAACTTTCTGAAGATGTTTATTCCGAGTCTGAGTAATATTTCGTGATATTTGCCCCCTCATGCCCGATTAGAGGTCAACAACACCTCTTCCTTACTTTTTCGAATATTCAGTACAGTCCTTCTAATTACTTGTCCAGATTACCTTCACTGTGGTTTTTGTTGTGATTTTCGGATTATACTCGACTCGAAAACACACAAAAAATTAAGTTTTCGGTCCATTTCATCCCAAAATTTCAATCTGATCATCACCGAAAATTGCGTTGTTCTTGACCATAACTGGAACTTCATGAAAAATTTTAAAGCCATCAGCGCGATATTCCCCCTTTATATTTGGTAATGAGTTTCTAAATAATATCTGAATACGTAAGCACCTGTAAATATTTGACTGTAACTCCCACATCTGAGTAGATACATCACTATATTTGGTATCAATTTAAAGGCCAACCACTCCTCTTGGATATGCTATCAACTCCTCGGGTCTACATCCTCCAGGAGTAAATATATATGCCATAGAATACAAATTTTGTCATTTTTCACACAAAAGTCAGGGTCCATTTGACCCACTAAATATTGACCGATCTTTATCAAAACATGCATGCTTATTCTCTGGCCCGATCCGCTTCTCCATGTAAAAATTCGCGGTGTTTGGGCCATAATTGCGGCCTCTGGAGCGACCAGAAAAACCGACAAAAATAATGTTTTTGGTCCATTTCATCCCCTAAATATTAACCGATCTTTTCCAAAAGCAATAGGGGTCTTCATTGGTCAGAACCCATCCTACATGCAAAATTTCGTGAAGATTGGTCCATAACTGTGGCCTGTATCGTGTTTACAAATTATAATGGACAGACGGACGGACGGACACACATGTCTAGATCGACTCAGCTAGTCGAGATATGACGATCGGTATACTTAATGTTGGGTCTAGGACCAATATTTCGCGGCGTTACAAACTATTGGGGGTGCACAAAGCTATAATACCCTGACAACATAGTTGTGTAGGGTATAAAAAATCCACGTCTTGTGTAGGTCCTTTTCAAAAATATTGTTTAAAAAATCCACGCCTTGTGTAGGTCCCAAAAAAAGTCTGATAAAAATTTGTTCACTGGGTTCCGGGGGGATGGACAGAAGACCATGGTATTTTCTGTGCATTTTTTTGCTATGCTATGGATACCCTGTTGGTGGTGTTCGGCTACACTTACCTCATTGCATTGTTCCTCTTTAACCGTTAACATTTGCTTGCAACAGGCAATGACATCTTTCAAAGAGGCCACTTGCTTTTGTACAATGTCCAATTCGCCACGCAACGAAAGATTTTCTGAATTGGCCATTTGCAAAGCCAATTGGGCATTGGCCAATTCAATATTGGCATGACGGCTGCGTGCCATAGGATTTTCATCATCGTTATCATCGAGGAGTTCCGATGAGCAATTTTTGGGTAAGGCAGTGGCTCCCTCCAGCCCTGCAAGAGATTTAGAGGATTTTTTCTCCTCTTCCAAATCGAGTGGAGGTGACTCTTCAACTTGTTCACCATTACGTAGGCGTCGTGAGATGTCACGCTCCCTTTCCAGTTGTTTACGCAACAAAGAGATTTCATCACGCAGGCCCTGAATGGCAGATTGTCGTGTTAGGCGCTTGAGGCGTAATTCCTCTTTAAATTCATCCAAACTTTGTTCTTTGTTAGCTGTGGCGCCAGCAGTTGTCGAGGGAGTTTGAAGAACTTCCTCCGCCTCCACTTTCAATTGCGTGTCATTATCCTGACTTGATTCACTGAAATGCCGAACCCTTTGCTCTTCCATCGTATTCTTGATGCGAGTTGCAATACGATGTAGCCTTTCGAATTCTTCATCGTAAATGGCATTCAAAGTCTCCTCCGGACTGGTGGGTTGTTCGAGTATATCCTCCGGAGAGGGTGTAAATACCGATGTTACATGCGGAACATGATCTAGGGTGAATTCAGCATTTTCTACTTCTCTCCACCAGAGATCCTCCTGCTCCACGTCGTCTTCATTCTCCTCGGGCACGGAGGCAAAATGGACTCCACGATAGGCAGCAGATCTGCGACGTTGATTGGAAGCTTCAACGACTTCAGAAATTTCTTCTCCAATATTTTCACTTGGCATGGCTGTTGTTGTTGGTGTTGTCGGTTGGGGTTGTGGTGGCGGTGAATTTAATTCAGTCTCGGTTGATTCATTACTGGCCATGTTGCAAGACAATGGCTGCTTATTTATGTAAAATGGTTTTTACGTTTCACTTGGGGTTTATTTTTGTTTTTTTTCCGATTTTTCGTTTTCTTCAATTGTGGCACTCTCTCACTCTCTTTTGAATTTTCGTTTTGTGATCTATTAACGATTTTATTGACACACACGAACACACAATGCAAAAACAAAGGATATTTTAAGCGAGAAATTGCGTCGTCGATTTTTTTCTTTTTGTTCCGCTTCTTCTTCTTCACAATAAAGCCCGAAATGTTACCACTTTTGAGTAAAGCCCGACCGATCGCAACAAAAAAGAGCAATATATCCACTCACTCACTTAAATATATATTTATGTATGTATATTATCAGCAGATCAGCATGTATAATAGACGGTTATAGTATACATAAATTTATTTTCTTTTTCTACAACTTTGAACACAAAGGCTAAGAAAATTTTCTTTCCGTCTTATTTTTCACCGGAAAATTGTCCACTTCTTAGAACAGCTGGCTCATCACTTTCTTTCTTCATTGACTAATTTTTTTTCTTTCTTTTCTCATCAAAAATTTTCTTTCTTGCGAAAATTCAATAGAAAAAAATGGCCCACAATCCGAACACTTCCACTTTTCCTTCTGCAATTCGTATACGGACGACGTTCCCTAAACAAAATTTTCACTTGTTATCGTTAGCACTACTCGAGGAAAACTGACGATTTGGTAAAGGCTATTTTTAAAAAAATAGTATTTTCGAAAAAGAATGAATTCGTTCATTTTTCATGAGTGAGCTAGCTGATCGGCATATTTATGTTAGAGAGAGAGCAAATGGAGAGTAACAGCAACTAATCCCCTTACTCTAATGAGATTTTTTTCTGCCACTCTCCGTGTTAATGTCTTAATATAGCATACGTTTATGTTTATAATAGGGTGTAATGAGGGCGTGTGATTTACATGATTGTATACATTAAGTAGACGAGAGGGTCCATCATCATATGATGGCCTATAAAAATAATTTTATACAAACAAAATATGTTTTAGACTCTTTAAAAAATCCACGCCTTGCCTAAAACCTTTAAAACATCCAGGCCTTGTCTAAGGCTTTTAAAAATATTTTTTAAATCAGTAAGGAAAGTAGTAAAATCGGATTGGGCCGACTATATGAAACATTAGGAGTTTGGTGCCCGTTTATATGCATATGCAGGAGCTATATCTAAATCTGAACCGATTTTCACGAATCTTAACACACATCGTTCTAGACTTAATTCAATACGCTATGCCAAATGTCCGAACCGATTTTTACGAAACATAAGACACATCTCTCTAGACTTAACTTAGAACGCTATGCAAAATTTCGTGCAAATCGAATGATACATAGGGACACTGGTGGACCATTTACATAAAATCGGATGAAAATATATATGGGAGCTATATCTAAATCTGAACCGAATTTCACGAAATTTATCCTACATCGTTATAGACTTAATTAAGTATGCTATGACAAATATCGTGCAAATCGAAGGATATATAAGTACTTTGGTGCACCATTTACATTTATCGGACGAAAATATATATGGGAGCTATATCAAAATCTGAACCGATTTTCACGAAATTTAACACATATCCTTATAGACTTTATTCAGCACCCTATGCCAAATTTCGTGCAAATCGAAGGATATATAGGGACTTTGGTGCACTATTTACCTAAAATCGGACGAAAATATATATCACTCTAGACATAACTTACAACGCTATACAAAATTTCGTGCAAATCAAAAGATATATAGGGACTTGGGTACAACATTTACATAAAATCGGACGAAAATATATATGGGAGCTATTACAAAATTTGAACCGATTTTCCCAATTTGAATGGGGTTCGTCCTTGGGCCAAATAAGTGACTTGTGCCAAATTTCATCCAAATCGGATTGTAAATGTGACCTGTACTTTGTTTACAATTGAACACCAACAGACGGACGGACGGACATGCATAAATCGACTCCGTAAGTGATTCTATGCATATTCTCAAAAGGAACCATGTGTCTATCTCGTTTCCTTTTGCCTGTTACAAACATATGCACAAAGACACAATACCCTGTACCACAGTGTGGTGAAGGGTATAAAAATTCAGGCCTTGTCTAAATTTTTCTTTAAAAAATCCAGGCCTTGTCTAAGGCCTTTACAATTTTTCTTTAAAAAATTCAGGCCTTGTCTGAGGCCTTAAAAATTTTCTTTAAAAAATCCAGGCCTTTTTCTAAGACCTTTAAAAAATCCAGGCCTTGTCTAAACTTTAAAAAATCCACGCCTTGTCTAAGGCCTTCAAAAAATATTCTTTAAAAATCCACGCCTTGTCTAAGGTCTTCAAAAAATATTCTTTAAAAAATCCACGCCTTGTCTAAGGTCTTCAAAAAATATTCTTTAAAAAATCCACGCCTTGTCTAAGGTCTTCAAAAAATATTCTTTAAAAAATCCACGCCTTGTCTAAGGTCTTCAAAAAATATTCTTTAAAAAATCCACGCCTTGTCTAAGGTCTTCAAAAAATATTCTTTAAAAAATCCACGCCTTGTCTAAGGTCTTCAAAAAATATTCTTTAAAAAATCCACGCCTTGTCTAAGGTCTTCAAAAATTTTTCTTCAAAAAATATTCTTTAAAAAATCCACGCCTTGTCTAAGGTCTTCAAAAAATATTCTTTAAAAAATCCACGCCTTGTCTAAGGTCTTCAAAAAATATTCTTTAAAAAATCCACGCCTTGTCTAATGTCTTCAAAAAATATTATTTAAAAAAAATGCAGGCCTTGTCTAAGGTCTTCAAAAAATATTATTTAAAAAATGCAGGTCTTGTCTAAGGTCTTCAAAAAATATTCTTTAAAAAAATGCAGGCCTTGTCTAAGGCCTTCAAAAAATATTATTTAAAAAATGCAGGCCTTGTCTATGGTCTTCAAAAAATATTCTTTAAAAATCCACGCCTTGTCTAAGGTCTTCAAAAATTTTTCTTCAAAAAATATTCTTTAAAAAGTCCACGCCTTGTCTAAGGTCTTCAAAAAATATTCTTTAAAAATCCTCGCCTTGTCTAAGGTCTTCAAAAAATATTCTTTAAAAATCCTCGCCTTGTCTAAGGCCTTTAAAAAATATTCTTTACAAATACAAGCCTTGTCTAAGGTCTTCAAAAAATATTCTTTAAAAATCCACGCCTTGTCTAAGGTCTTCAAAAAATATTCTTTAAAAAATCCAGGGCTTGTCTAAGGCCGTCAAAAAATATTCTTTAAAAAATCCACGCCTTGTCTAAGGCCTTCAAAAAATATTCTTTAAAAAATCCAGGCCTTGTCTAAGGCCTTCAAAAAATATTCTTTAAAAAATCCAGGCCTTGTCTAAGCCTTCAAAAAATATTCTTTAAAAAATCCAGGCATTGTCTAAGCCCCTTAAAAAAATATTCTTTAAAAATCCACGCCTCTGTTAGGCCTTTAAAAATATTATTTTTCCTCAGTCCACCCTATTAAATGTTTACATGTGTTTTTCCTATTTTTTTCGAATCCAATTTCTTTGCTTTTAAATCTTGGCAAGAAAACAAATGTTTTTTTTTTGGTTCTTCAGATTATATCTGACCACATTTAAAAGAACGTGTTTTTTATGAAAGAGAGAGAACAGCAAATTGAGAAAATGAACATGCAATTACCCTAAAATACTTGTGTTTAATTAAATTCGAAACAATAGGATTGGTCGGAACGAGTCATTAGCAAAAGTGATCAGAGGAAAACAAACGACAAATATACTCAATACAATGTCGTCTTTGATCCGTAAAATATATACTCCTACCAATGTATTTCTTATTATACGAGATATATAGATACATTTTTTGCGTCTATAAAAGACATAATGCGGTCAGATCGAAAATTCGAAAAAGATCGGAAAATTTATGCAGTATAATTAAATCCACCAAATGAAAAAAACATCGATTCAAATGTGAACCAATTGAGTAAAAGTAAAATTTATGGTCAACACCTATTGACCCAGAAGACGATTGATATATACAACATTGAAGGTGAAACGAAGTACCTCGTCTTTCAGATACAAATATAGAAATATTTTCATAGGGAACCATACATAGTTACTAATATGTACTTTAATGTGAAGCAGCATATATTATATTTGGGGATAGATTTTTCATAATCTATCCCCAAAACGGGGTACACATTTTTATCCCACTTTTATTCAAAATTGCAATATCAGTCCCTCAAGATTCTCCTATATTCCCTCCAAGTACATGTAAGAAACCAACCACATTTTCCATTAGAGACTTATATTCATTTTCGATATCGAAATTTCTTTCTCATTTTCGAAGAAAATCAGTTCATCAATTCTATATACAAATGAACCACTTCAAGAAAATAAAAAAAAGAAGAAACTCAAAATTTCCCTTTGATTATGTTGGGCGGCGATGAAACCCCCCCAACATCGAAATAGTCACGTTTTTTGGCATGTAGAAAAAAACATGCCAACACACACTGTCATATAAATAAATGTGTACATATTTTCATATGTTTTAGTAAAAGATGTTTTCCGATGATGCTGATAATGTTGTTGCCTTCGAAGAGCGGCACACCTGATTCAATTTAGACAAATCAAATTTGACATTTTTCGTTACAAAATAGAAAAATATTCAACAGACGGTAAAGACGAAGACATTTTTGAGTCATGTGAAACAAGAACAATGGCAGGTAATAGTGTTAAGGAAAAAACAACACACTAGGGGATATTTTTTGTTTTGTTTTTAGTAGAATACAAAGAAATTAGGTGGGGACTATGGGGCTATTTTCAAACATTGAATAATTTCTGGAATTATTCACCTGGAATCCTATATGCCAAATTATTGCCAATTCGATGAGAAAGCCAAAACGAATTGTATTGCAAATGTACCTAAACCCCCTCATACTGTAAAGTTAAATGTGTAAAGACGATCTAGCCATTTCCGTCCGTCTGTTGTAATCACCTTCATCTTCTGAAAGAATTGAGATATT